TTTATATGTTCCTTATCGAAATTCCTAAAGAAAGTTTCGTATATTTTAGTCTTATATTCGAATTTTAATAAATAGTTATAAAACCGACCTTTAAGGTGCGATAAGGACGTGGGCAGCTCGCTTGTCTAGGCAGCTCGCTTATCATATACGTTATATAATAAAGCTATATTATATAATATTTAATAGTTATTTTAATACTATTGTCAATTATTTGATAATTCTATCCTATATATTAGGCTAATCATTTGTATGTCAAAGTAGAGATTTTGGTGAGGGCCCACCAAAAATGGAGGGGCCAAGAAGGGGGTGGGGCGACTTACCTGGTTACCCATGAGGCACCCCGCCAGAACAGCAGAGGAACGGTGCTAGGGTCCGATGCCGAGGCAGCGAGAGTCGCATAAGATGATGCATGGGGCGAAGCAAACGAGGGAATGCATCAAATAACTTGGATGTTCAAATCAATTGGATTGTACCTGCAATGGCTTGCTCCCTAGGCCTTCTTACTCAAGCCGCAAGCTAGCCTGTTGAAGAAAAACCAGGGGCCGTTCATGATACACCGACGGGGCACCAGCGGGGTAACAATGTAGTCGACAATGCGCGGCAGCAGCTCAACCTCTAGCCAGTATCTGTAGGAGCGCTTTAAATGTGATCGCCTCATGAAGCTGGCATCCGTTTCGAAAAGAAGAATACATCGGGGGTTTTCTGTGGTTCCTCTGAAGCATCAAGTCGGCAATCTCCAAAGCCACTTTTCGAAATCTTGCTCATTCAGACCTTGTGGTATTTTATTGATACCTTGTCGCCATTGCTCCGACGCACCGTGCAGGGCGTGGCTTGATGGATCCGCAGCGTACTTGTTTAACCGGTGCACTACCGCGCTGTCGCTTCCCTCCATGATGAGTCTCTCGGCAGAAGCGCGCTCAGTGAAAACTCTCGCTCTTGCTTCATCGCCGTTTGCAATCACGATCTGAATGCATCAGAATAGAGTCGCGGGACCCTTGCGTCGGCGATGCCCTCCTCCTCCATGAGAAGCTTCATCTCGTGCGCCATGCGAAAGCATGCCAGGGGAGTCGATGCAATGCGTATGCCATTTCCGATCTGGTTGTCAAGGTACGTGATCCTGTTGAAACGGCGATCGCTTTGCGTTCGTTGTGGTGCTGGAAGTGTACACAGTTCGCAGGCGCAGACGAACCCAAAAGACTTCTGCAAACGCTATTGCCTCGCAACGTAGTTTTCCGATGCACCAAGGTAGGATATCGTAATCTCTTCGCCATCGTCAATATCCCTAAGCATTGAGAGTTGGCCTCGATCGTCGTTCCAGGTATTTTGGGCGTTGTGTTTGCAGGAATGGTTGATCCGAGACGCCTCGAGAAAGTTATCGCCTTTAGATGCGTCCGAGCCTAGCAGTAGCGCGTTTGTTCTCGCGATTCCTAGCACCTCGCTGTGGCGGGTTCCGTGGGAATTAGACAGGGCAAAGAAGCTCTCGCGCTGCACCTGGCTCAGAAATCCCACGCTCCGAGCTGTGGCGGCCTCCTGTTTTACAAGTTCGACTCGTCTCTTGGAACTCAAAAAATTGGAGTCTCTGCAAGCAGGCGGGTGCCCATGGCGAACATACCCTTACCCTTCCCGGCGACAGCCAGGGCAGCAATTCCCGGGCGGGTCGATTGCGACAGAAGCCCAAGCTCCACTCCCCGTTGATCGCTGTGCAACGTCCTTTGACAAAGGATGACCAACATTAGCGTATCAGACTGCACATTGCTTTCATCGCAAGCCGTACCTAGACCGCGAGAAATCTGGATATTCAAGTTTGCTGGTGTGAGTTCGACTTCCGTGATAAAAGTGTCTGGTTCTGTCAGAATGATGCACAGATGCATCGCAGGTCTCGGCTTACCGGGAAGCATGTCTTTGATGACACTGCAAAAGTATATCATTGCTTCCGCACCGCTTGCGTGTAAGCAGATAGGTTTCATAAGCTCCGGATGGTCTTGCAAGCTCGCAAGGTCCGTTGGTAGAGGTGTCAATTTTGACTCATACAGTTGGTCATCATTCGAGCTAACTAGCATGATCGTGCTTGCCTCTCGCTCGATTGACGTGATAGCGAGTGGGTACGCAGCTTTACGGATACGGACCAAAAGCGCTTCGAGAAAGGCTGTCCTGTGCCGATTCCAGTCTGATCGCTGGCAGGCGCGACCGCAATAGAACGTGCATATGGCGGGTCCGTCATCGTAAGCCGGCGCCCCACAGCAACCCGCACACCGACGTGCTCCTGGGTTTCGGCAAGCGCTGCTTAAGCTGCCTTTGCCATCGGAATCAGCGTCTTCAGCCATCGTGTTCAGATTGCGAGCATTATTGTTGATCTGTCACGGTAAGGGGGAGATAAACATATGAAGTAACTGAGATGAGTGCTTCTGGCGAAAGCGGGGGAGACTACTGCCAGAGGTCTGACAAAATTGCATCACGTGGAAACGTGGCTAACCTTGGGACAGTTTGTGCTGACTGGGTAGTCGTGCTTCCAAGTTACCCCGCTCTCCTCTACTTACTATTGTGAAGCTTCAACGCCAACATGCATCTCTCAAATGCATCCCCTAAAGCCACATCCCAAACTATGATGCCCAGGACCATCACCGAAAGCACGCAAAACCTGCTCAGAGAGCGGGTCGAACCCTGCACCGTATTCGGATAGACCCATCTTCGGCTTCCTGACGATGAAGAGAGGGCATTGGCTTTTGTAGTTGACGTGCGTACGCGAAATCGTACCCAAACAAACGTGAATCTGCACAAATATTTGCACAAGCAAACTTGAGGTCTTGCAGACAAAATTAAGTTGAGGATTTTGCGTGACATCATTGCACCTGCGGCCGAGAACCTCTCCGCTTACGGCGCAAGCGACCTGGATTGTCTGATTGAGAGCATGAAAAGGGTTGAAAGGTTTCGCCGTTCGTCGGTGATTTCATTGTCGGGGCACCCGTGAGAATGCAAACGGTCGAAATCTCTATAGAAGGGCACTCGCCGCGCTCACCACCACCGAGCTAATCCGGCTTGTCCGTCGCAAAGAGGCTCTCATTCCCCATCTAGCACGATCACAGACCTTTCTCGATTCAAGATCATTACGCTGCGATACACGACAGGAACACAACGTACATATCCAACCCGTTCTTTCGATTTATTGAACTTGATGGAAAAGAGGATTAGATAGAATATGTATTCGATCGCAATGAACACTTTCATGCACCATTTGTATGCTAATGCACCTCACAAAGATTTGATCGTTCATCGGCAAGTTGGCGTCTCACTTGGATTTGAGGTCGTTTCGTTTCCCGAAGCGAGTCTGGCCGGCAGTAAAACGTGAGCTATGAACATTTGCCATTGCTTGTTTGCTCTACAATTGCAGCAGTACGTTTGTTCATTGTGAATCTCATTACCTCTGAGCAGTGACCGTCATCGCAGATGTATCGGCAATCCCTCGCATACATCCGTCGATTTGGCAATCCGCTCGCCAATCGCACCATGAATAGAGATGCGTTACCTCGTCTCGCGTGGAAGAAGGAGTTGACATCTGACTGACACAGAGTGTGAGGAAGCCGACGATGAGCATCACCGGTCAAGGTGCGTGTTTGAACGAGAAGCGCCGAGGCCCCGTGACGGCCAGTACCAAAGGGCGTACCAACCGTACGACCCGTCGACGAATCCGTACACTCTTTCAAGCCTCTCTGATGTCAGCATCAAGCAGTGCGATATCTCTGCCTCCCCAGTGATGCCAGTATTCGGTGACCATTGCTGAGCTACGCAGCCGCGCAGACCTTTCGGTGATATCTGTCCTTTCTGGGCTGCCCTCCCATGATACTCGAAACATAACTTTACGACCCTTGCGTCTGCCCTTGATTGCTAGGACAATCAAGTGCGAGTGAATTGCCAGAATGTGCCACTTGTCACGCTGATGTTCTCCCAAGCACGCACGATGCTCAACACTCGATGTATACGCCAACCATTCGTCAGGGGCGTTACTCTGGACTTCTCGCTCCGGCTGCCACGACTTCGCATGGTTTGGCCGAAGAACGCATAGCTCTATTCGTGACCGATCGCGTCGTGACACTCTGTGTCCTATCAATTGAACAACATCTATACGTTGGTGGTCGGCAGACGCGGTCGCGTGGTGCGTGGGAGTATCTGCATGTTCGAACTGGAAAGTATCGCCCGAGCTCTGGTTCCCAGAAGAGGGGGAAGAGGAACAGTCGGCTGTTTTTGTCTCCTTCGAGGCCGCGACTTTAGGGATCCGAACAAGCTCGGCTCGTTCTTGCGGGCTTGGGAAAGTTGAAAAGTCAGGTCACAACCGAACCAAGCAGCGTAGGAGCGACTTACGACGTGAGAATCTTCCATCTATTTCTGACCGCCTGACGCAGCAACCCGATGCTTTTTCGACTTCTTGTCGACAAGTGTTTGGGCGGTGGCGCGGGTCTCTGATGCAACCCCAGAAGGCGATGCATCATTGCTTTCTGGAAAACGATGAAGCTGTTACTCGGAAAGAACTCTGGACTTGCCCCGCCTGTTGACCCGTGCGTTAACCCAGTCTACTGCGGCTGCATGCTGTCTTGGCCGCGGAAAGTCCAACACAATCCTGCGCTGGCCAACGGGCTCCTTTGCGCATTCGGTATAGTTTATTACATGGACAGGCTTTGACATAACTTGGACAAAACTATGTTATATAACATATCTGCAACACAACACAAGCGGAACACATCAAATGCTCAAGGACTAACAATCAATGTAACGAGTGGCCTTCGGGCGTAGTAGTTTGCAGCTATTCGAGCGTCAAATGACGGTTCAAAAATTCTATAAATTCGAGAAATAAAAAATAAAAAATACAAAAAAAGCACCAGAACCTCACTAGCATGATTCCGCAGACAAACCAGAGCACAAGAAAAGAAGCACCATTCTCCATCTACCATTATCTCCCACGAAATCAACGCCAAGCCGCTCGCTGATGAGACGGAATCCCTTAATTAAGCACAATGATTACCTTTTGATTGATAGACCTCAGTGGTATTGCATCAAATCAACATCGCTTATCTAACAAGTTTATACCGCTCCGGCTAAGTTTTTCAGGGCTCAAATGATTGTCTACATGATCTCCAACTTCGTTGATATCCTTGCCTCCCAGAAGCCCATACAAGTCTCGTCCGTCTCCGCAAATGTCATCTTCAGTTTTACAGGCCGATGCCGCGGTTGCTCGTGGAGTTAGTAACAGGCCATCTTGAAGGTGTCTCCCAAAGTATTCGGCGTCCTATCGTCGGCGGCCGAATCTAGTCCTGCTGTCGATGGTTCGCTGCTGGCTGATCTGTGCATCCAGTCTCTCCGTGCTCATGGAACTTGATCGTCTCTTTGACAACATCTACGCTTGGCGATCAATCCTTGGGGTCGGACGCGCTCTTTCCTCCCAGGAAGTGTGACAGGTCTCCTCTGCGCGTTTCCGTATGTTGAAGCGTCTGACTTCGTTGTGCCGTCCACTGTGTGCAACGGAAGAGAAAATGCTCTACCGATTCTGTTGCTTGCCCGCAGGCGCATTGCGCCGGGGCAGTTACACCGATCTGGTGCAGGTACCAGTTCAGTCTTGCCATTCCGGTGCGCAATTGCGCTAGGATGCTGGCTTTTTTCCAGGACAATCCATCATATAGCTTGTGCGTGTGGTTTCCCGGTAGCGACATGTCGATCTTCTTCGAATATGTTCCTACGTTGTCGGGCAAAGCTCCTTACTTCTGTCGCACGCTTTGTAAAGCGATCCTGAGTGCTGTCGAGTAGGCTCTGGCCGGTCGTTTCTGTGGTATCTTGTTTACTTTGGTACTTTCTTTTGCTGCTGCTTTGGCCGCTTGCGCCAGGTCTAAGTCTATAACTGATGGAAGCCAAAAGAGAGCGCTTCTGTTGCCTCGTCTCTGCAGAGCTTGCATGATGGAGTAAAATTGTCGGACCTCTCGTTGACCTGACTGCTGCCGCGGGTTGAGCATCACTAACACTGCCGCTTTGTTGCGGGCGAACACGTGGATAGCCCGGTACTCGAGTCTCTCTGGGAGAGCCTTGACCGCTTCCGCCAGTGCCGCTAGCTCTGCTACATACGGGTTCTGCTCCGTTCTCTGACCGAACGTACGCGAGGCCGTCATGATGCCACCGCCCCCTCTGAAGGATGCGGGCAGCGTCGTCGCCGTTCCAAAGCCCACAACCTCGTTTCTCGCTGAGCTCTTTGTCGCTATCCTCACTGCCCATTCAGACCGGATTGCTTCGATGGCCTTGACCATGTCGTCGTCGACTACTGTATCAATACGACGTTCCCAAGGAGCGATCGAATACCCTTCGATAGTCTCCAGCTTGTCAAGAGGTTGGTCGCGGTAGGCCTCCGCCATCAACTGGAAGGGTGATGGAAATCGTCTAAAGGCTACCGCCCGCAGGCGTCGGAGCGGATGGGTCTTGGGAAGGCTTCGCATTCATACCCAGAATGTCGTTGATTTTCTGTCGTATCTCTCTTGCGCCGATTATATGCTTGCCTCCGCTTCGGCGACCGCTGTGGCCACTGAGTTGAAGGTTCCCACGACCGCTTGGGCGCCAATCCTCTGCACTCGGTTGATTGCTCTCATCTGCGCTGCGCGACATCTATATCTCCAGACATTCGACGCGTAGTCCATCGTTGGTGCCACGGCCGCGACGAAAAGCTGTCTGGCCGTCGCCGGAGACAGACCTTTGAGCCGCCTGAGTCCCAGCACGGCCTCCAGCCCTTTTGTCGTCGCGTCTGCGATGTGCTTTTCGAATCGTAGCTTCGTGTCCATCGTCACCCCTAGCACCTTGACGTGGTCCTTTGGTCGGACAGTAACCCATGCCGTGTAGTTATCGACGAAGGCCAGCGCGCCCCCGTTTTCGTCGATTTGGTGCTGTACGAGGTCGGCGTTGAAGAAGAGAAAGAGTACGGGCGACAGCGGCGAGCCCTGAGGCAGACCGGCTTGTGGTGACGGACGTTCTCGGCCTCGTGACCGTTGACCAATATGCTTGCTGTACGATGGGAACAGAAAGCGTCGACCCATCTCACAAGCTTCTCAGGCATACCCCGTGCCATAAGACTTTGAAGTAGCCTCTCTTTGTACACACCATTGTATGCTCCCTTGACATCGAAGCTGACCAGACTGACCACCTTTCTATTTCTCCACGCTTTGTAGATGTACTCCTGTAGCAGTACCAGCGCCTGCTCTGCCGACCTCTGCTTGCGAGCGCTAAAGTGGCTCGTAGGGAGGAGGCTAAATGTCTCGACAGCGTGCGAGATACGTTCTACCAGAACTGACTCTAGCACCTTCCCGAGCGTCGACAGAAGCGAGATCGGTCGCCAGGCCTTTGCTATGCCGTAGTCGCTTCTATTCGGCTTCTTCAGCGGGATGATCTTGGCGTGTCGCCATTGCCTCGGCAACAAGCCTTCACCCAGTGAGGTCTGGAAGAGTGTAAGCACCCTCTCCTTCACCACTGGCCATGTGTGCTTCCACACTGCCACCGGCAGACCGTCCTCTCCGGTTACTTTCCACGGCTTTGCCGCAAAGAGCTGTCTCTCTACTTCTCCCAGTGTGAGGTCAGGGAAGGGTACCGGCGATCTCTGTGGCCGCTCGCCCTCCTCCTCGACCGTGCTGGGAAGAGGAGGAAAGAAGCTGGAAAGCAGCTCTTCGGCCTGCTCTGCGGCGTCTTCTGTTTGGGAACCATCCGCCCTTTTAAGTTGAGGTATCTTGTCGAACGATACCCCTGTACTCGCGTTGAGGTGCTTCGCGGCCTTCCAGACGTTTGTGTCGTTGGCCAGAAAGTCCTCCCAATGGCTCTTCTTCTGTTGTCGGATGGCGTCGTGATATTGCTTGGCGGCCGAGAGGGCGCGTTTTTCCAGCTCGGCTTGGGTGTTACCTGCCCTTCTCTCCGCCATCGCCCGGTTCCTCCAGTAAGTGTGGATCTGCCGTAGCTGCGTGAGGTCGGCCGTCCACCATCTCTTCGCGTACGGAGATGGCTTGATCGTCGGTGTCAGTGCCTCTACTGCCTCGCACACCACAGACATCAGTCGATTTGTCTGCTGCTGCACTGTCCCTCCCGTTGGCGTTCGCTCTAGGTTTGCTTCCACTCTCTCATTGATTTGCTTCCATGGAGCGTTCTTGAGGAGGAGCCGTGGTCAGCTTTCCATCTCAGGCGCGGCAATGTCGAAGATCGTCTCGATCGCCCGGTGGTCCGATCCGTGGTCTGTCTCGCCCAGGGCGCATCGTACCACCGTTCTTGCTAGCTCTTCGGACGCGAGGGATAGGTCGATCGTTGTCGCCGTATCGTTCTTCTCCCACGTCTTCATGCCACACGGAAGGAGGCTGCGGAGCGAGTACTCGCTTATTAGATCGATGATCGGGTCTGCCTCGCCTTGCCGGCCCTCCGACACATCGTCGCCTCCCCACAGGTAGTCGTGGCAGTTGAAGTCTCCTGCCAGAACCACGTCCACCCTTTCACCTATTCCTCCTCGGACATTCGTGATAGCTTGCCTCAGCAGGTCGCACGCCTGCCGCAGCATCTCCGGCTTCTGCACCGGCACGTACACCGACGCCGCCAGCAGCCTTCGATCCGTGAGCCGGACGACGGCAGCCGTGATGTCTGGCGATGCTATCGGCACCTGTTCTGCCTCCGCTTCGTTGTTCACCCGTAGCAGACTCCTGATTCCCCATCTTCCTTCGTCCCTCCACTCCGTTGGTACTATCCTCGTCCACCTGCTGTGTCCCATCGGAACAGTAATGGCCTTGCCTTCTATCCTCCGCGCCCATGGCTCCTGCACCGCTAAGGCCGTGAAGTCGCGCAACGTCTCGTCATTCATCAAACTCTCGTGGACCTCAGCCTGTTTCCTCACGTTCAGCTGAAGGATCTGGACCTTCCTACTCATGGGAGCGCGGATACAGCTTCGGACAGTTCTTGCTGAACGACTCGTGCGGTCCGCCACAAGGCACGCATGTCACGATCGTCTCACGGCATTCAGAATGGTGGTGGCCTACCTTGGCACATCGTCCATACACCTGGGGGTTTGCGCACTGATACGCCTTGTGCCTGGTGATCTGCTGGCAGTTGTAGCAATGTTGAGGACGTGGCCGCCGCTCAAACGTCATCGGCATGCCGGGCTCTCCTCCAACGTGGAAGAAGCCCTCGGAGATGAGTCTACGCACATCACCGGCCTTGGTCACGATCACGGCCATGGACCCATACGCCTTGGGCATGTCTTTCTTGCTAAGCCAAGATATCTTGGCAACGGTAGTCTCGTTTTCTCGGCTAAGTGCCTCCGCCGCTTCAGCCCGGACATTGCCCTTCTCATCCAGTACCTCAGTTCGCTTCACATTATCTACCTTCACGGGGTAGAGCTCGTTTCGTAGCATGCGTGTTCCAGAGCCGAAGCTCTTTTCCACAATCTGCTTGACAAGCTTGTGCTCAGCATCGTCGCGACAAATGACCCGGATCCTATCCGCGTTTCTTGGGTCTATCGTGATGGCCCGACAGCGCCAGCTACCCTGTCCGACCATTGCTCGCATCTCCTTTTCCACCGCAGCCCGAACTCGACCTGCGTTGGGCTTGTCGCTGCCTTCTTCAACTCTTGATGTGTCGATCGTACAGAATAGAGGGTCGCTGCGGCTCGCCAGAGTTGCGTTGCCCGGCGTAGCTACCCGCGGGTCACGACCTTGCCCGCCTAAGCCGCTTCGCGCGACGTCCGCGTAGGACGCGCTTGGGCTGTTCCGCGTCGCAGCCACTGCCGCGATTGCTTCGAGGCTTTCGTTCGTCTAAGCGCTTCCGTCCTCCACGCGTTCTTTCATCGCTTGTAGCTCTCCTTTGACGGCTTGTAGCTCGCTCTTAACTGTTTGCAGCTCTGTGGTGACCACGCGAAGCTCTGCCTCCAAGTTCTGGTTCAAGGTTTCTGACTTCTTCCACGCATCGAACATGATCTTGATCGCTACGTGTAGCTCTTCGATCTGCTTGCCCATCGCCAGGAGCAGTCCTTTGTCGTCATCCTCTATGGGTTCGCGCGTTCCTTGGCCAGTATTGCGGCTCGCGTGGTCGTCGTCCGCCGGCCACTGCCAGCAGTCTCGGTCGCTCGCTCGATCGCATCTTCGGTAATCTCTTGGTGCGTCTGGTTCAGTCGAGATTTCGCGGACCCTTCGTGGTAGCAGGTTCTCATCGTTCGCTGCTACCACCTCCCTCGCTACGGTGATGGACGTCGAATCTGGCTCGAGGTCCATCGCGTCGGAACGTGCCTAGAGTTGCCACGCGGTGGGTCGTGCCAGTGCCACGTGAAGCGCGTTTCAGAACGCTTCAACGGCGCTCAGCTGACGGCCTCGAAGAATCCTCCGTGCAACAAAGTAATAAATCCTGGATCTTCCTACGACGTCCCCAGTGCGTTACGTCAGCGCGTGTACTCCGTACCAGCGGCTACATTTGTGGCGGGTGGTGCACGGATTCATGAAGCATTAGGGCTGTTCCTCCAATCAAATGTGGCGTAGCATCGCTGTAGCAACCAAGACAGCGCTGCCTGAGTTGATGAAGTACGCAAACCCAACTGAGGTTCAGGGCGGGCAGCTTTTAGAGGGCGCTGCATCATCAACCACCCCATCACGGCCACAGCATCCTTGCGTTGACACCCGCTTACGGAAAACACACCGGTAGACGTGCATTTCAATGTGCACTCTTCACGACAATATCCAGGCTTGGGTTCTGGATCTACCCAGAGATCACGAAATAATCTCCGACGAGTCTCCGACAACTACAGCCCGCAAGCGAAAGCGACGCAACAGTTATGCCCTCACCCCTCTGGGCTCCGACGACGAACAAGTGCATGCAACGATCATGACCGACCGAAGCGGAGGAGGGCCTCTCACGCCGCAAAAGCGCCAGCGTCTCATACCCGCTGGTAGTTACCAATTCAATCCCGACGACAACACCGAAACCCTTCGTGCCGTGCGACCAGGCGATTCGGTCTCGTGCGATGGTAGCAGTGTGTCTCTAAGCGCGGGCAGCGGTGCATGCTCCATGGCCTCATCATCGCGGCCTAGCCGCTTCAAGTCGCCGACGAAATAATTCAGCATAGCTGAAATTAGCAAAAACCCGATCAAGGTCTATGCGCTAGATTCAATTAGAACACTCGAGAACATTGACACCAGGCCTGGCGCGCGGAGCCTGCGAGAATCGCTCAGCATTATCTCCAGGATTGCAAAAAAGTAGAGGGGTCATCCCTAATAGGAATGTGGTATGAAGTTGATGTCCTTCGTCCCTCCCGTCCTCCGGCGTTACTGCAGCGGTTGTCCTGACAGATCTATTGCATAGGAGTCAATTCGAATGTCCAATCCCGAGATCGATCTCGATGACGATACCGTTTACGATGCGAGCGATATATACATCAAACGATATGGACCTATACCTTCGTTCGCGGAGGTGAGTGCTATTGTCCAAACTTCCCAGTACGGGACTGCGGAAAAGTTCGATGAGGCGAGCTGGGATCGTGAAGTGCACTTCCGTGTACTGGCCTTGTCTTTGCGGCGTCCTCTCGCCCCTGCTAGAGATGGCCTGATCAATTTTGCGCCTTCGTAAGTGTTACTTGTTGTGTCTCCACCTCGAAATGAGAGGACGACTGGCTGATATTTTCTTCCCATTCACAACAGAACAACAGCTGCAATCCACCACAAGCTCATCGAAGGCACGCCGCCTCGCATGGTCGACTTTTGCGTCTTTATTGACCCCGAGTCAACGGATGTAGAACACAAGCCCTGTCGTCACGGACGCCATTGATCGCATGCGACACATGTCAGGCTACTCGTCCATCAACCACACGTCCCACTTTCTCTTTCGCAACAAAACCATCTCAGTAAGCATTGAGTCTAAGCAGCGCGGTTCCAGCCAGGATGACGCGCATCTACAAATCGGGACGTGGCATACTGCGCAATGGACTTATCTGGAACGCCTTGCACAAATTCAAGGGGCCACATTACAAGGCTTGGCCTTCCTTCATGGTCTCATTGTTCAAGGCGAGGACTGGCATTCGTAGCCTCCACAAGAGAGGGACTTAGTACAGTAAGACACCCACTAGTGCTTTCGGCCTCTCCTCTACGTGCTACTTCTAGTTCTGAGTGCTGATTCGACATGCAGCTGTTATGGATCAAGAAGAACACAGGCTCAATAACAAACCTTGAATAAGTTTACTAGGTCGTCCCGATGATTCAATACATTGCCTGGTGGACAGACACAGTATGTTGGCCCTGGCTTTCATCGGCCATCCTCGGAGCTCCATCAAGTGCGCCGTGAGTCAGGTTTGTTGTTGCTTCGACAATATCTCATCCCTGAGATTACCGTACACTTAATCCAGGTCCACCACCCACGATGCGCCCGTCGTGTCAAGAAACTGAGAACTTGGAATGCGTCTTGCGCATGCATGATTTTCTCCATCTCTGACGAAAAGTTGCCCCTTCACACTTCACTTGCTTGGTGGCCGCTCGAAAAATTCCACCGTCATGTCTGGCTCGACCAAGAGCACCGAGCGCTGTGGGATCAGACACGGATCTCTTCCTCAGGTACGTTGTCGATTGGGCGGGCTCTTGGAAATGACGTTGCGTCTTGCTTGTAATAGATAGATTAGACACCTCGAGCCTGTTGTAGCTGATAAGAATGACTCGTTTCTTCACAGCGCGTCGCTGAAAGGTTTAGAGGTCGCACCATGGTCGGTGCTCTCAAGGTGGTGTTATTTAGATCCGGTAGAGTTGCCGTGAAGCTTGTATTTCATAACGGATGTGATTCCCATCAGGGTCCGAGGCCTGACGTGGAGGCTCTATACAGGATCACTGACGAGCGTTCCGGTCACGAGAATGGTAACCTCCCCAGAGTCAGTCTTACGAGACCAGGTATGGATGTTGATAGAAATGGTGTCGAGGTGGTGGAGAACAGATTGCGAGAGGTTTCGTTAGTCTCGTTATACTTGCAAATCCTCACAGTCAACACTCAATCGTATAATGTAAACATCGAACTATTGAAATCAGCGTCATTCTTGTCAGGCTAGGGAAACACACCACTTAACGAACCAGGTTTTGGCGCCCACTCGCCTCAAATCATCGGTTGGCAGCACTTTTAGAAATTGGATAGGAACTATAGGCACTTGAAACAACAATTGGCACTCCATCAGTCAATTAGCCTGTATGGTGCAATTTATCGCCGTGGGTTGCGATCAAACCGTCGCCATTTGTTCACCAACTTCGTCAATCACTCGGCTTTCCATAGGCCGATTGCAGACTCACGATGCAGATTACGCGCACGACCCCACTTGTCTGTATCTTACATGTTCGTTCGGTGCGCATCATACGGAGTATGTTCATGGAACAATCTGGTTCGGAACCGGGCTCCAGTAGGTCCAAGTTCGATGATCAGCCACTGCATATCGCTGAACCCACTGCTTCAAATATCCCAGCACTGGCTTATCGGCAAGGTCCGCCATTCGTTGCCTAGCACAACACTGAAGTTGCCTGAGGTAAAGCATGTAAATCAAACAAGCCACCCAGGTTGGACGTGACACGATAATTTCTCAGAGTGACCACCTGACTACCACTACTCTATCTTCACACGATCTTGCGCATTCACCGCCAGCGATACTTCTTCGCCTCTATCTCGATGGCGATAAACGAAAATTGTATCCATGCCATTCTCAGTGCACTGCTGCTCGCATCCGGCTCAGGCTCACAACCGCAGCCACGTCATTGAAGCCTGGATCCAGGAGGTGTTTGACGCCGATCTCTCGTCGCACCGTCCGCACCAGCCAAGGCCTGCCCACTACACAACTAAGCAAGCATTCTTCTGTAAGAAAAGACGAGTTACCGAAAACGAGGAAGAGAATAACGTCTACAGCTCAGACAATTTATCGAGCAAAAGAAGTGCTGCGTACACAGAACCCCTTGCACTCTAAGACGCCAGAACCAATACAGAAGGGGCACCTCGCATCCTCCGCGCCATCGCGAATTCGAAAGCAACGACGACAATGTCAAGGCAAGCGGTCAATATAATAATGAGAGATGATGTGGATGTGAATGTAGACGTCGAGTCCGAGGATGAGTTGGACAAGGCCGACTATGCCTCTTTCACGCCGCGAGGGGCCCGAATCAACATCGTCGCACGCAACTGCAGCCCAAATATGACTAACCCCCACCTCGTTTCTTCTCGCTTTATTACGCCACAGTCGACCAACATGGCATCCAAGAAGCCTCTCGCATCAACACGCAACATCCTTCTCCTCTGTTCCCCTTACCACCAAAGTCCGCGTTCACGTCCGCATCCGGAGCAGCAGCGGCAGCGTTCGTATCGGTGTCGAGCAGTTGCCGCTCGAGAAACCCGACAAATGGCGTCAGAGGCATGGCCGATTTGCTTCTTGCCGAGAAGCGCGTTCGGATCGTGCCCAGGCTGCCCGATCGCGATGTCATTCGGGACGTTGCCAGCCTTTGTGACCGCCTCGTCGACATCAGCGATGGCTGTGGCGTTGTTCCCGCGTCTATTGCCTACGAGGTGCGTCATCGCGTTCAGCAACTGCATCGCCTCTGATGACCTTGGCTTTCATACTTAGCCCAACAAACAAGGCAACTGTCTCCTCCGCGTCTCACCTTAGCCACGCACTGTCTTCTGATCAATGTTCCGACCTCAGCCCAGAGCCAGCATGTATCTCCGGAATGCGGGCCAGTAACTATCCTCTATCCAACACTTGAAGTACTGCAGAGCGGCCAGTATCTGGAATGTACCGATCAGCGTTTCGGTGGTTCCTACCTCCATCTTGGTGTAAAGCCACGCTTGGCCTGAATCATGACGCGTAGTGGCGACAAAGTACCATGAATGGCCCTGGGCGATGAAGGCTGGTAGGAAGTCAATATCTGTAGGGGGTTGCTGTTTCTCAAGCAATAGGCTTCGCCACTGAGCCGCGTGCCAAGTGCCAATCTGCGAGAGTGCCTGTTCTAAACCCTCACCATCGCGCTTGGTCTCAACAGAGAGGGCAATAGGGTCGCTGCTCAGATTGCCCCAGTCAGTATGGTTGATTGAAGCCGCCGGTCTGGTGGTGCAAAGTCGGTCAATACGAGTTCTCTCTTCCGTAGTTGGAACGACGTGAATGCAATAGTCCACCATCTTGGACGGGACAGTCTTGGGCCTGAAGCGAGGAATAATGGAGGCAGCATTGCTGTTCATCAAAACAACGGATCAGCTACGAAGTTTAGGCGCAGTGGAGGCAAGAGCATACCAGTATCGAAAGTCCACCGCAGAGTGACCTGAATCGGGGCGGAAGACCCAGTCAAGAAGAGGCCGATGTACATCCTGGTTCCAAGAACTCTCAAGCTCTCTGGAGACAGCGCATTGTATGGCCCGCTCCATGGTTTTCCTGACGAATGTCACCGTCGGAAACTGCCACCGTCGGACGACGGACTCGGGATTGTAGAAGGAAAAGTCGCGAACACGGTAGCTTGCGAGCTTAGATGTATTTCGTCAGTAGTCTTGTCAACATGTAAGCGACACATAGGTGAATGGCCTAACCTCATCTTTTAAGTATTTCGGTACAATACCAACTCTTTCCTGGATGTCGGTAAGGTGAAGGACAACTTGAGTCAACGAAGCGGGCATTGTCGCCGCATCAGCAGAGAAGCTCTTGATCGAGTATCCTGTGATGTCAAGCGAAGCGTAGCGCATTTGCTTAGTTGGCGAGGAAGTCCGCGAGGGTAGAGACGGCGCGCGAGAAACGACGGAGGGTGCAACTGTGTTTGGGGCCGAAGTGCTGTCTTGGCTTATGTGCGCCTGAAATATAAGAGGCTCAGATTGGAAATGCATGTGGTCATCTGCACGAGGCATCGTTTCGCCGTCGCGAGTGATGTGTTGTCCGCCACGATTAGCGTTTGTGGTGTTGGGGCTGTCACCTTCATTATCGCCATCTTCTTCGAGAGCGCGCTTCTCCCCGGAGGTTTGCGAAGCCGGCGTTGGCTCCATACGGGACACGGCGGTGGCGGGCGGTGTTGGGATCAAGCCGTATATCGAAGATTCGATGTCATGGTCATGTGCAGAGTCTAGCAGTCGAGGCCTTTTCCGTCGGGGCTCAACGTGTTCGGATCGCGAAGGCAAGGTTGACGGGCGCTTCGCGAATGCCTCCAGTACGATTGCGTCAGCAACGGCGTGGTCGTCGGTATTGGGGTCCGGCGGCAAGATGCGAGATAGCCACAAGACAATAGATTGTTGAGTCTCTGGTGGTGTTGCAGTCATGCCTATGACGGGACCGGGGCTTGTTGTCGGTTTCAATCTCCGAACTTGGTGCGATCCAGTTGTATGTTATGGTGTACGCTTTCCTTGTGGACATCAGTGGATTGCTGGTCACCCAATACCCAGCGGCCGTACCTTACGTAATAGTAAACTTGGCTAGCCAAGTCAAGGTAAGATAACAACGTAGTGCAGCCACCGTGCTCCGGGACATGCCGCTCACTGCTGCCTCATTACTTACGACAGTCGATCAGCCCATATCGCGTGCGCATCGAAGATCACGGGAATTTCCCTCTAGGTGTGACGCGCTTCAAAGTAGAAATGCACTGCCAATTGAGCGAGTCGCTTTGATGCTGTCACTTTGTGATTCCCTCAATCACGAGGGTCAGGGCTCCGAGACAACTCGCGCAATCACTCCGTACGCATACTATGTGATACTAGGAGTTTCTTGCATGCGCAATGCTTAGGGTTGGATTGCTTCCGGCCAAGCATTCATGGAGAGATTGTGTGACGAGGCACTGCGGATCAGCCTGACGACCCAGTATCCCATGTACGACATCGGGTCTGTCATGAGATACGGCCCATGCCAGAGGCTATGGGGTCTTCTATCGCTCTACGATTGAGGATGGAATTTGCGACACAATGCAGATGTCGCGATGTACGAGAAAGCAAACTAACAGATGGTGTATCGTCTACAAAACCGATGACTTGGATCGAAAGCTCATTCAGAAGGCTTTCGAGAGAACATACCACAAGAATTGTGAGCGCCGACGGAACTTGGACTAGAGATATAAAAAGTCACCATCCGAGCTAGATCTATTGCTCTACGTAAGCCATCTTGACATAAGAACCTTCGAATGCTACGAGATAGATGTTGAGGCTTGTGGAATTATGTTGAAGGGTCACGGGCAGGTCGTATCAAGTCCGAGTCTTTCGAAATCGATGACGCAACCTGATCACCAGGTCGACGAGGACTAATCCTTGATATACACAGCCAGAATACAAATTTGGGATTGTTGTTGGCCGATATAACTGAAGCCTGAGAAGTTGTTAGTGATCTGACGCAGGAGGGGACTCAGCATTAACATCATCAACATCAGGTGAGTATGAGCATATAAGATGACGGTTCTTTCAGAGTTGGCAAAACTTGACTCAAGAATTTGCTTGTTAGCGGAACCCGATTCGCAGGGCTGTGGAAGACGCATATGATCAAAGATACCTTTGGGTTATTACCTAACTATCACGTGGGAAGCAAGAGACCATTAATGTCAATCAACCCTCGAACACCCCTCTTGGCCAACGACAACGAGTACATAAGCCGAGCCTTCTTCTCATGTAAGTATCAATGGACCCAACTGGAAAGGAGCTTTATGATATGCTTGCATTATTCCCGCTCGTGGCTATCACCAAAGTTATCACCATAGCCTGCGCTGTATTTTTCAGACAACGGAAGCCTTCGAAAAGTTCTAGAAAATTTAAAGTTTGTGGGAGTCCAGTTAGGTATACAAAGGAAAGCCGACGGGTCCGCTTTGCGGAAAGTGCCGAGAAAGCTGTTGCTTCGTCGATACGTCTAAGTGACGAAGAAATTCCTCTCGATGTGGAACCAGTGAGAAGATTCGCCCAGCATAGTAGACCGGTAGTCAGAACGCGAAGTGGTCGTCCCGTGAGACTTCCGAAGCGATATCGGGACCATGAACTTAATCAAAAGTCTATTTTGGATTGAAGAATTGTTCTAGAACGATGCAAACCTACGTCTAGCTAATCATAAACTGAGTTCTTGCTTGTTATAACACTAATGGTGGACGGACTATTGGGCATGTGTATACAGATCCCGGTAACAAGTGGGTGATCAATGAAGTGATTATATTCTTTGATGTCCTTCTATTAAGAAGCGAGATTCTACGTGGAAGACATGCATATTAGTTGAAAATTGTTTGATTCTTCTAAGTGATAGGCTTATACGGGGTGGTACGTATGAAGTCTACGAGACGGGCAGTCGTCCCGGAGTATGCGGTCTTGTGCGGTGATATACTCAGTAGTACTATGAGCGGCGTTGGGGGATCTTCCTTTCCTAGAATACTTCCGCATTCAAATAATTAGACAGATACGTGGAGACTATACGTAGAGCAAGAAGCTCAAACTAAGCTCAGCATATTGCTGCGTTCTATAATGTGCATAGGAGAGGACGATCTAAGGACAAGGTAGATTGGTATACATAATTAGTGGACTCATCCTGGCCCCATGTGAGAAGACCTTCCCATGTCCGCACAACCAGCCCATTAGACTCATCGTTCCCATGAAGAAAGTTTTCCGCGTCTCCCGGGTCTAGACATACAGTCTTGCTATCTAGATTCCCTTTCG